CATGGTTAAGGCCTTTGCATTGGATAATAATGCTTGGTAAAAAAGATGAAATGTGAATGGCACATAGGTGACCTTCCTTCATATAACTGAAACACGTATAATCCAAGCACGTCAGTTGTTACTCACGGGGCGAGTGCGAAACTAAAGTACATCACTTACGAGTTATTATTCACGTGGAAAACCCGTAAGTCGGCCGTTGAAGTGTTATAAATATTAGTTAAACCAAGTGTGTAGGTGATGTAAATAAATCAATACATTCTACGTTCTCCCGAGAGCTGGTGGACTTCTCGACACAGCGAGGTCGGTCACAAGGAGGGATTGGTGGCTATTTGCAAAGGTTTCCTGTTCTAACATTGTTATCCTTGATACAGGAATGTCTTCCGGCCTAAGAACGTACATTTAGATGAGAAANGATGAGAAATGTGTACTGTATGTACGCACGACGCCGGTCCAGATTTATTGTTAGATAACCCGCATCAATCAAGGAGCAAATCAAATGGGTGATGTATCTATATCACTGGCATGGAACGCAATGGATCTGTATCGGTTTTTCAGAGCAATCTGGTTTCAGTTAAGAACGATCTATCCATGGACACGATTCTGTAGCTAGAACAGGCATCATTATAGAAATGGAATGCGTATGTAGACATTGCATTTTGGCTGAGTGATTTTGTGGTGGGGATCTTTATGTCTGAAGGTAGAGTGCACTCAAACAAAGCAAAAGCATGACAATATCAAAGTGCTTAAAATTGTTGAATAAACAACTGTATGCAATACTTAACTACCAGAGCTTCAACGCCACAGTACGCCAGTATCAAAAAATGTTTTACATATTGTAATTCAGGTGTTGCATAGGTTGCATCTCTTAAATGCATTGAAAACTGTTCTCATCTTCTGTAACACAAGGGACCGAAAAATACCAGAACGCAAAACCTGGTATCACATTTTTGGAAACACTATGTGTATTATCTTTGAGAGCCCCAGCTAAGATCATTGTTTGTTTTTTATCAAAGGAGATTTAATGTGCATTCTCACTCATCCCAGTATGCTATACTCAATACATTTTATAAAATTAGGGGGAGTTCAAAAAGCTAGAAAGAAATTGAGTGGTTGATGCAGTATTTTTGTGCCTCCGAAAAATGATTTTGACTCACCAACAACCAGGAATGAAGTATCATTCAAAGATGTATGGTTCAAACGAGTGCTTTGACATTAACATTCAAGCGCAAGGATACAACTTTCAAAGATCTGTTGCGCCCGTAAAGAGTTTGCGTTATGAAATGTAAAGGTATATACTAAGTTAGAATAAGAGGCGATAAAAGACAACCAATATATCAGGTTGAATAGATAATTCAAACAGGACATTTATATCAACGCAATATCCCAGTTGCTTTGCATACCAACCGCACAGCATCTTAATTTTTTCATACATATTTGGCTTACTATTGTGGCTGTTCGCCGAGCTTTGCAATTTGTTTGCATAGGTTTCATCAGCAGCCGAGGTGACATCATCAGTGCTTGTGAAGTGGCCACTTCAGCGTTCAGTTCACCCGAGCTACGAGAACCGATTTTCAATACTTTGTCAATATTTGGCTTGCTTACCACATTTCAGTTCCCAAAATGTCCCACCCTCACGGGGAAGCGTAACAGTGCTAAATGTTAACGAGAGGAACTTCTCAAAGCCATTCAAACCAGACAGTATAGCTGATAATCGCTTCGCGAAAAGCCACCTGATGGCAACTTTTCGGGATTAACCAATAGCAAACACATCACATATAGATGAAACAATACACTTTCGATTGATTACCTTGACAAAAAGTATTAGGATTATTCTCTTTGATGATAAATCTACTGTTTGTTCATTGAGTCGAGGTGGACTAAAACCGAAATGGAAAATAGGTCAGAAAATTTCGGAATGCGGAGTCGTATAAAATACTCCAATATCAAGCAAAACATCAATAAAAATACCTTCATAATCCCTTTTTGAACTCCCTGTATTGATTATCATTTAATGAAATGCAACTGGTTTCGTACCCTACGAGTTAGAACTTGTGAAATATCACAATTGTTTTCAGAATGTGGTTTGCGCAACTGAATACAGTTATAAAGTCAATGTTGAGAAGCAAACAGGCGCGCTGAGGCAGCAGTCAGTTATAGAGTCATTGTTCTTCGCAACTTGAGTTACGGGATCAAATGTTCTCTTCATAATTACCTGAAACTGGGCAGGAATAGAATAAAGCGATCAAACAGAAATTTTGATATTTTTTGGACTAATAAGTCCTTTTTTATACACAAGAGATTTACGCAGACTAAAATTCCAAAAAGGTCTCCACAACTGAGAGCCGAGGTAATTAACGCAAACAGGAACACATGTGCGAGGAGAAGTTTGTCGTTCACGGATGTACCACCGAAAAAAATTGACATTTTTAACTATTTTCTATTCTTTTTCTTCCCATTTCTCCTTCAAGAAAACTTCACTCCAGACTGTTTTTTATGATCCATTTTACGAGCGAAAATGTTGATTCATCAGCGTTGAACGTGGCTGCCTTACTATTTTTACCCATTAAATCAGCCAAGTTAACCCCATTTAAGAGTTGGTAAGAAAAACTGAAGTTCACAAAAGTGATATGGTTTTTGACGAGATTCGTAGATCGTTTAACATCTGTAATATTGACAACTTTGTATTTGCTCTCTTTACTTTTCGCTACTTTTCATTTAACCAGTTCTTTTTTTTGTTCCTGTAACAACATTCGTTATCACCATAAAGCGCATTGGCCGTATATTATTATACTTTCCTGTGAAGACTAATACGTAGTCAGAAAGGTAACTGGTTGTATGCTCTTGACCATAATGGAGCAACGAAATTCATCGATAGCGTTTATCCCAAAACGGAGTGTTGATGTGTGATTAATTCTCGTAAAAGGTTACATACGTTTTTTTAATAAATCTCCGTAAATATTTCGATACATTTACAGCGTTGTAGAGTAAAGTTCCTAATTTTTGTTTTCTGACTCTACTAGAGGACATTCTGCCAAGAGAAAATATAATTCACCTAGGGAATTCTCTTCCAGTATCTTGTTATTTTTTCCCCTCAAATAAGCCTACTAGGACTTTTAAAAGTATGTTTGGAAACCTATTATTAAAGTGATCACAGATTTCCATCTATGTGTATGGAG